TATAGGGGAGGACCCCTCATTTGTACTCACTTAACTTTCAGAGAGCTAATACATACTCTACTTTTCCGGGTGCAACTTATAGTGTTCTTGCCTTCTAGCTTACTTTTGAGTTTGTGTGCGAGGTTGTATTAGCAAAGTTCTCGTAAGTACCGAGGAATTGTTAGGCCAACGGGAAGGTGTTCAAGGAGGAAGCATCTGACCCACTACATATATCTTTCTAAAATGAGGCATCCGGACTAGACAGTGCTTCCTTGATTGATGTTGGTTCATTGTCTAACATTTACATAACAAAATTTGGACAAAACGTTTTCTCAATTCTGGTTCTTTTTCTATGACGAAGTACAGTAACCTCATGATCAGGAGTACCAATCCTTTTCTATCTACACTATGTAGTTCTTCATCTACAGGTTGAGGATTGAGTTAGATCTTTTCTTTATAAGAGTAGATGTTTTTGAAGAATACAACAAATCTTAATTATATCATAGTTCATTCGGTCATTTTAGGAATGCTTGATTTATAAAGTATGAATCGGTAAGTGCTACTATTCACTAAACCCAAGTTCAAGCCCAAGCCCAGGACTACAACCTTTGAGCCTAAGATAACACTCATGCTCGTGTACATATCGTGCATTATCTTGTTCATGGGACGACGTGCATCTATAGCTTACCGGCATTTGTGTGCTTAAACCATACTGGTAATAATCACTGTACAACCAATATGTAAATCTTATTTGGGGGGCGGCTCACCCCTGTGGCTTACCGGCACTTATATACCTAAACTATACTATTAATAACCACTATATAGCCAACATATATATCTTGTCCGGGGGCCGTGCGCCTATGCTTACTTGCTTTTATATGCGTAAATCATACTATTAATAACCAATGTACAGTCCATATGTATTTTAACTCACTAAATAATTGGTTCTAAAAATTATAAATTTAATTAAATTTACCGATTACATAATTAACTGATGAACCGATTATTCAACATATCTTCCTATCCACTCACTTTATTCTTTAGTTATTGATGTATGCAAATTTTGAAACAATTCTACAAAAGTTGTCTCTATGGTATAACTTTTTTAGTTTTTGTATTTGGAGCAATTTGTCATCTATGAAATGCTTGCTATATATTGCCTATGAAAGCTGGTTTTTGTTTCACTACATTGATTGTTTGCATACAAGCAAGAAAGTTATAAATTTTTAAAATTTGGAAGATAATTGTGCAATCTTATTCTTGTTTCTCATTTGGCGATATCTAATTCATGGTCTAAATATATAACATTGATTGATTGTGTCATTTAATTTATCAATATATATCGACTGAGATATCAACAACAAGAATGGAGAGTCAGAGAAATATCTAAAAGAAAAAATAGAAATGATGCAAGAAAATGAAAAAGGTAAGAATTTGTTGTTAAGGGACAACAATATTAATAATAATGAAAAAAAAAGGGTAAAATAGGTGTGTAAAATGGCCTTGTTTTAAAAGATCAAAAGAGCTTTAAATTTGATCATAGCAAAAACATGACGTTTTTGGCTCATCTCCCTCCATTGTCCGGACCTCCTGATTGCTTTCCAATGAAAATCGAATTTTAGTTGCATCATAAAAAAAGATTCAACGTGCTGCTACAACATCCTCTTCCAGCTCGTTTCCTCCCACATCCTTTGTTATAAGTTGGTAGAGAAGATGGGACAGCAATAACAAAATATGGCTAAGAATAGTATTTTTAAATTTGTGTTTTTCATTTTTGAATTTAATCAAGCTTGAGATAAGACGACATGCATATATATTGTGCCTAGGAATGAATTAATGAAGCACTAGTCGAGGCTACGAGGCTTCAATGTTAGAAATTTGGATATGATTTTCACCCACCCACCCACCCACTCAGTTTATTAGTTTTTTAATGTAATTAAATAAAAATAATGACATTTTTGTAACGTAGTTAAAATAAGGTAATGATATTTTATACTCCCTCACTACAAAGTACTCTTTGTTAGTAGATTAAGAAATAATAGTATTTTATTTGTCAGTAAAAGTGTGTAAGATATTTTGATATTTTTGTCTTATAATTTTATGTATAAAGTAATTGTATATGTAATGTTATGTTTGTAATTTAGGTAAAAATTAAGGGCATTTTTGTATTAGTGTATCGTTACTTTTATTAAAATAAGAAAATAATACTTTTAACTAGAATAGACAAAAATTGTAAAAATAGTAATTTGCGTGTAGAAAGATGGAGTAATATATTGTTAATTTTAAATATTTTAAATATTTTAAATATTATGTTAGTAGAACAATTATTTATTTATTTATTTTTATAAAAAAAAACAATATATTTTTATATGTGTCTGGTTCGAGGATTCTAATTTGCTAAAAGATTTCTATTCATGAAATTTTTTTTCTTCAAAAATATTAAATTAAATACTTATGTTGTGTTCTTTTATGATTTTTACCATTGAATTTACTATTCGTATTTTTTTTACAAAAATATAAAATCAAAAATTACTTTTATTTTTCATATTATACTATAAATCTATTTTATATACAAAATATCACATCAATATCTATTGGGTAAACTAATTTTTTAGTTCCGTAACTGGACCTCTTTATCATTTTACTCTCGTAATTGAAGGTTGTCTTAAAATAGTCCCGTAAATAAAAATTTTTTGCAATTTAGTCTTCAATGTCTACGTGGCACCTGCATAGCATGCGGACGGACACGTGTCGGCCAGGTCAGCGCCATGTGGCTTACATGTGTCCGTCATGTGGATTATTTTTAATTTTTTAAATAAAAAAATTAATAATATAAAATTTAAAATTTAAAATTTAAAATTTAAAATAAATAAAATAAAAAATAAAAATTATTCATATGTTCATGAAGTCAGCGCCATGTGACCTTTAATAATTTATATATTAGTAAATTATTTTATTATATTTTTTATTTTTAATATAAAAATATAAATTATCCACGTAGTGGCCATGTGACGTTGACCTTACCGGAATGTGGATAATGTTTATTCTTTTAAAATTTTATATTTATTTTTTCATATTTTTAATATTTAATTTTATTATTTATTTATTTTTTATTAAAAATAAAAATATAAATTATTCACGTGGCGGACATGTGTCAGCCACGTGGCGCGATCTAGCTGACACGTTTTCGCTAGTCTGCCACGCAGATGCCACATAGACATTGAGGATTAAATTGAAAAAAATTTACACTTAGAGGACAATTACAAAACAACCTCCAGTTACGAGACTAAAAGGATAAAAGGGTCCAGTTACGAGATTAAAAAAATAGTTTATCCATATCTATTTATATCACATCAAACAACTATTCGAATTCAACTTTTTACTATTAAACAATCCTTACGTTTTATTTAAAACAGGCGAATTTCTCCCGTGTTTGTATTTTTAAATTGTTAACAACAATCTTAATTTTCTAATCATTGATGTTAATGATATTGATTAGTCTCTATTAGATTTAAGTGAGAAATTTTATATGAAATTTTTTGAAAATGAAAAAGTAGTTTTTCACATAAATACTGTTAAGAGTAGAAAAAATTGTGTTTTGTTTCTAAAAAAATACTACATTCGTTCAGCAACAAGAGTTGCATTTATTTTTTATGTGTTAATTTCTTAATATTAATAATTATATCAAAATTAGCACAAATCAAATGAAAAGGCCAAAAAATACTTCTATTAGTATATTATAATATAGATATAATGACATTTGTATGATAAATTATATAAGAATATTTTTAATATTAAGTACAATGACGCAAAATATAAATGTAACTCTGGTATAAGACAGAGGAAGTATGTTATTACAAAAACTTTGAAAAAAAATTCGATGAGTGATATAAAATCTACTACTGTTTGTTTAGCATATAATTTTATATTATCTAAAGAGCAGCGTCTTATATCTAATAAAGATACTGAGTGTATGAAACACGTACCATATTTTAAATTCTTAGGTTTATTAATGTATTTAATTGTTAGCACATGACCAGATTTGGTCTATGGGGTAAGTTGCTTAACTTGATATATATGGTTGATCACATCGTCGAACATGGATATACTAATGAATGTCTCTTTAGATATTTAGTTTGTATAGTCAATGTAGTATAGTATTTGGTAAATATACTAATGGTGCTAAATTGAAAGATTTTGTGAATACAAATTATGCTAATGATATAGATTATAAAAGATCTACTTTTTTTTTTTTTTACATTTTTACACTATAAGGTTCTTTAATAAGATGGAAATCACAACTTAAACATATAGTATTTTTTTTTTCCATAACTAAGTTTGAGTATGATGTTGTTATATAAGCGTTAAAGGAGACATTATGGTTAAAAAACTTAATTTTTTAAATTGATTATTTGCATAATTTTGTTATTATTTTTATGAATAGTAAATTCATAATATTTTTATATAAGAATCTCGTTTTCCATAAAATAACATTTTCATTTATAAGTGATATAGTGGCTAAAGAACAAATAAAAATGGAAAACATTCTTTTGGAATTTAATCCTAGTGTAATTGGAACAAAAGTAGTATATTCTCATAAGTTTGAGTCAGGTATAAAGACCATGCATTGTGATACATATGATAAACTTGTGATAGTGTTCATTTAAAGTTGTAGATTAATAATGTATTGCAACTTTTTTCTAAATTTTCTTACTAAGTTTTTTCTTTTATTTGTGTAGGGGAATTTTTATTTTTGACGATGATGACATTAAACACTAAATAAAACAGTGTGACCAAAATTAGTTAGAAAATTGTTGAATGTTGGCCCAAGATTAAGTTGACGCAAAAGTTGAACCAAAGCCCAATGTAAAAACCGAGTCCATTTTTTCGGCCTAACTCGTTTAGCTCGATCCACTGGCAAGATTAATCCTCAGCCGTCTGATGGAGGGTTTTGTTGTGAGCCTTTGATTCCGATCGAATATAGATATATATATGTGTTGCCGCTATTCCCATTATTATTTACTCTCTCTCATCTCTCACTTTTTTCTCTTGAGCGGTCGAGTTGTTCCTTTGTTTCGTTCTTCTTCGCTAATCCTTTTGGTAGGGTAAGTTTCATCTTTCAACTCTTAACTTTTGTGTTTTTCAAAGTTTGAGATCCGAAAATCTTCTTTCCCTGTGACAAGTGAACTAACGTAACCATGTCTTCTTTGTTGTTTGCATTTTGAGTGTCCTTTGAGGGATGTTGCAAGTGGTATGTTCTTGTCCACTGTAAATTGAACAAACTTGAGGTTTAGTCTTCGAATGTGTTGTAGATTGGTTATTGTGAGAGTGTAGGGGCTAGCAAGTTGTTTGGTCGCATCTTTTGGAGTCAGTTCTTGTGATTTTGTGTTCGAATTGTTTGTAGGTGGGTGTAGAAGAGGTTGAGACTCTATACACTTTGTTAAATCAAAGTGTTTTAAGTTTTTGAATGAATATTTTATTTTTATTTTGTTATGTATGTTCTTGCTCGATTTCAATTGTTTTTTACAGTAAAATCAAGTTATTTGTTCAAACAAGTTTTACAAAATCTATTTACTTTTATTTTATTATTTAGACACTGATTGAGTTTAATGAACTTTTACTGGATTAAAACTATGAACAAATACACTTTTTACATAATTTGAAGAAAATGCTATTTTATTTTGGTAATTAATATTGTTATTACAAAAAAGTAAAAAACAATGGAGAAATTCATATATGTTGTCATATTCTTTTATTACATAAACTTGTCCTAAATTGAATACTGCAATTTAGTTGCATACAATGAGCTTTAGATCAGTTTGAGAGAATGAATTTTCATATGTCCATTTTTGTTGTAGAAATATTTCAATTAAAGGGTTCACTCATGTTGCAGGCATTGGGTTTCAATGCAATATTACAGTTACAAGGTGATTTTTTAAAATTATAAATTACATTTTTAATGACATAATTTCTCATACTTCACTAATATATGTGGTTACTGTGTATGTTTTAATCATTTATTTTTTTTCCTTGTAGTATCCGAAAATGAAGTCTAATGGAGATGCCAACAAATCAAATAATACAAAACCATCTTCACAACATCCTATTCAATTTCAGAATGCTGCCACCACAGAAGAGTCGGGTTCAAGTTGTATTTCGCCTACACAAGACACGTTCTGGACATCATGTCATACGTGTAACATACAGTATGAGTACTATAGAGTTTATTTTAATAGAGTTCTAGAGTGCCCTAATTGTAAACAACCATTCAAGGCTGTAGAAATTCAAGCTCCAAATATAAGGTTTCCGTTTTCAAGTTATTTTCGACCCAATTAAATAAGGTCGAAAATTTTGGAATGCATAAACAATAGAAAAGAGTTCCTTCTCAGTTACCATGTCATTTCTTTTGGCTTGATTAAGTGTTTGATTGGAATAATAAATAGCATTCAATTTCTTTTCTTTATAATGCCCAAACATTGGTCTAGCACTAAGTGACTTGCATCAAACATGATTTCAAATGGTAAACTCCAATTTGGGGTTGCATTACAGTAGTTGTAATTAAAGCCTCTTACAACTTATTGAACACTTGAATAAATTTAGTTGAAAAAAAAAATGGCACATTTATAAAGTAATTTAAAAGAAAAAAAAAAGAACTATTTTCGAATAATCCTTAAAAAACCACCTATAGAAGTGGGCGTGTACAAAAAAACTCAGCAAAGCTCTAACATACTTCGGTGGTGGCAGTTTCTCAATAACCTCAACCTTGGTTGGGTCTACCTATATGCCGTTTTTGGAAAATTTATGGCCTAATACAATCCCCTTAGTCACCATAAAGCGACATTTTTCCCAATTGAGGACAAGGTTAGATTCTTCACACCAAAGTAGCACCTTGTCTAAATTGTCTACATATTTCTCAACATCAGACCCAAAAAGAGAAAATCATCCATAAATACTTCAATACATAACTCAATAAGGTTTGAAAATATTGACATCATATAACACTGAAAATTAGCCGATGCATTGCAGAAACAAAAAGGCATATTCTTATATGTAAATGTACCATCCAAACAATTTGAACTAAAATTAATTATCGTTCCTATAGAGTTTAGACTATTTATGGGATATGGGCAAGTTAAGATGGTATTATCTTAGTCCTCGGGTGGTAAAGTAGCCTGCTAGATGTTCCAACGCCTGGTTAATGAATTGAAGTAGAAAATAGTCTTTCCTCATTTTTTTCATTCAATGGTACCACCGATAGTCTATGCACAATCTCTAGCCCGTCACTAGCCGGCACAAGATCACCATCCTCATTCTGAATTACTATCATCACATCTTTTTTTAGAACTACTTGTGCGGGACTTATCCATTCACTATCAGAAATTAGATATATGATATCTGCACAAGCAGTTTGATTAGTTTCATGTTTGCAACATTTTGCAAATGAGGATTTAATATTTTTTGTGGTTGCCAAATGGGCTTGTAGTTGTCTTCAATGTAAATATGCTGAGTGCACAGCAATGGAATCAGTCCCTTTTAGTTATAGATTGTTCAACCTATGGCCTTCACATACTTTCTCAAAACATCCATTAGTGCACTTAATTCATGTGCATTTAAAGAAGCATCGACAATTATAGGTAAACTATTATTTTCACCAAGAAATTCACGAGTGGCAATAACACAAGAAATGGTGTAGCTCCTTGTCTCTATTTGCTTGATGGATAATTTCCTTTGTAAAACAGCACCTACACCCTCATGTTAGTGCCACCCATTTGCCATCATCGATCAACATTTTATTTGAAAAATTCTTCTTAAAAATATTGGGATATTTAGGTATCGATGAAAAAGCATCATAAACAAAGTATATCAATGAGCACCTTCTTAAAAATTTAAAGAAATTTAGAAAAATCTTAACATTTTGTCCTGTTTTAAGGCGACTTGGATATGGAACACGTGTTTGATATGCCCTGAATTCATATCATTTTCATTTATTCCATGTCTTTTCCTTGTTTTTTTTATTCGCACTTCATCATTGTCATCCTCCGTTGACTTTCCAACCCTCTCACCTTTATTAAAATCCTTTTTTTTCTCCTTTATTCTTAGATCTTGCAAAAAAATATCTAAATTCTTTCATATTCAGGTAGGGAAAAATGCATTTCTTTTTATTCCTTAAAGTTAGTGCTTTACAATTCTCTTTTGGATTCGAATTAGGCATACTCGGCAATGTCCCATACTGTCTCTGCAAAGTATCGCGAGCTATCTACTATACTTGCACCTTCAGATTTCGCATTGAAGTTTGTAGTTGGTGAATGGATTGTTGTTATGCCAACACTAAGTTCTTCAAACTCAAATCATCTTGTTCTCTTTCACCTTGCTATTTTTTATATTGATATGGTCGATTTGAATTTGTTGTGGTTGTTGGTAAGTGGTTTGGTTACGGTTTTTGTTATATTGTGGTTGGTGATGATTTTCGTATTGTTGGTTATTTTGGTAGTATGAATTCGCCTGAAAGTGTGGCAGTTGAGGCTGTAAGTATGAGGATGAAGCACCATCAAATTCCTTGGTTGACTTCTAATATAACTTATATCATCCCCAATTTGTTGTTCAACCCTTTCACATTGCATTGTCTCTTGCATATTTCCTTTTAATAAATGACAACTTGTTGTCTGATAAGAGCCATAGAATTCACAACAAGATGGCACATCTTTTCTCTTTTTCAACAAGTTGCTTCCTTTATCAATGTATCTAGCTTAGACTTCACGACCATTTCTTTGTCAAGCACATATAGACTCTTACCCTTTCCTGAGCAGCCTTTTTTCGAGAAAGTTTCTGCATGTTTTATATCTTCTTGTCGATGATTTCCTTTGCTCGTGTAGATCCATCAAATAGGAATGAGTCAACAACGGCAACCTCAAGTAAATTTCTCTATTGCTCGGTTAGTCCATTGTAAAAGAAGTGAACTTTCTGCCAATCAAAGAGTTAGAGGAAAGCATGAAACGTCCACATTGCTAAAAAGTAAAAAGTGCATCAAGTTTGATTGAAATGAAAACAAAACTATCATCAATAAGATTTGACGCGCTGCTGCAACATCCTCCGTCTCCTTGTTTTCACTATCATCCTATGGGATAATTTGGGTGAGAAGAGAAGAGAAAGAGAGAAATAACAGAAGATGACCAAGACTAGAATTTGTAACTTTGCATATTTAATTTTGAATTTGAGATTTAAATGATACAACATGCATATGTATTTGTGCTGAATGAAGCACAGGTCGATGCTATGAAAATTCAATCTTATAAATTTGGATATGATTTTCACCTGCCTACTCATATTATTCTTTAGTTAAATATGTATGCAAAAATTTGAAGACATTTCAGAAATAATGGGTCATTGGTATCAATTTATTTTGTTGTTTTCTGAAGAATTTGTAATCTAGGAATTGCCTAATGTAATAGTTCCCGAGAATGCTTGTTTTCGTTTCACTTTGTGCATGGTTTGCACGCAAGCTACATAGTTTTGAATTTATAAAAATATGAACTAAAAATTTTCAAGCTTATTTTTGTTTCATATTATGTGATATATAATCTTTGATCTATATATATTATTAATTGGTGGGGACTTTTAGCTTATCAATATGTATCTATAGGGATATCAACAAGGAGAATGGAGAATAGGAGAAATATCTAAACAAAGAAAAATTAGAAGTGATGCAAGAAGATAGAAAATGTACGAAAAGTGTTGTTAAGTGGCAACAATATTAATAAGAATGGAAAAAGAGTAAAACATAAGCTCAAGATGGGCACCTTGTTGTTAAATAAGAAGAGTATCAACTTTGATCATAACCAAAACATTACTATCGTGGGTAAGCAATGTGCTTCTGCAACATCGCCTTATCCAGCTCATCTTTGTCCTCATATTAAGTAATAATTTAGCTATATTAAGTGATAATTTAGGTGAGGAGAGAAGATAAAATAACAGAGGATGGCTAGGAATAGCATTTTCAATATTTAATTTAATAGATATTGCATGACTTATCATGCATAAATATTGTTATCCAGAATGAATAGATGAAGCATTAAGCCATGGAGTTTCCATGCTAAAAATTTGGATATAATGTTTGCAAGTCCACTCACTTTATTCTTTAGTTATAGATGTATGAAAATTTTGAAACATGTTGGGTTCCGGGCCTAAAGCCTTTTTCTAGAAGAGTAAAGGGCTCCAAAGGATGAGGCTTAGGAATCATCATAGTAAGAGCATTCGACTGCTAAGCCTCTAGGTAACAAACGCCCTATCCATGGGCCATGATGGATCTGAAGAAGGCACACCACGGCCATAAGAGCTCAAGTTTGGTCCAGTAAAAGGGCAATAAGACATAGGAAAACCATACGAAGACATAGGCGGAAAGAATAAGTAACTAACCTCCTATAATGTGGGAAGTGGATGGAATCCATACTTGTAAGGGCATATCTACTAGGACAAACACATACCACACAAACAGTGCACGAGTCATAAAAACAAGAGTTATATTTTTAGATTCATCCACAGAATTTCTTAAGTTGATTTCAAATTTATTTACTTCTTGTTAATTTGAAGTTAGTTTATTATTATTGCTCATTTTTAGTAGATTTGAACAACTTCTACATAAATTCAATTAATCAAGTTAACCAAAACTCAAATACTCTATCGATAAAGGCGTCTACAATCTGACGACAGACAGGTTTTGTGATGTGCTCTTGGGACCCGATCACATTATTTGATTTTAGGGTGCGTTATATATCGAAAAGGCTCGAAGCCTCAAGAATCGAAAATTTTAGTTCCATCAAAACCATTCTACAAACGTTCTCAATGGTATAACTTTTTTCATTTTTGTATTTGGAGCAATTTCTCATCTAAGAAATTCTTACTATACATTCCCTATGAAAGCTGATTTTTGACTTTATACATTCTATGCGCACAAGCAAGAGAGTTAGAGGTTTTCAAAAACCTAGAAAATAATTATGCGATCTTATTTTTGTTTCGCATCGTGTGATATATAATTCATGGTTTAAATATATAAAATTGATTGATTGTGTCATTAATTTGTCAATATATACGACAGGGATATCAAAGAAGAGAATGGAGAATCAATGAATTATCTAAAAAAAGAAAAAAAATTAGAAGCAATGCAAGAAAATAAAAAATGTAAGTAATTGTTGTTAACTGGAAACAATAAAATAATAATAGAAAGAGACTAAAAAAGGAAGTGAAAATGGTCTCATTGTTGAAAAATCAAAAAAGTCTTAAGTTTAATCATAGCAAAAACATGACTATCATCGATAAGAGTGGACATATTGCTGCAACCTCCCCATTAATCTTATTTTTGCCTCATCCTCTATGAGGAAGTTACTTGTAGGGTAATTTTTAGAGACGCGAATAAATGGTTGTTTCTAAAGCTTGTTGAGGAAATT